CTACTGGAAGCTTCCAGCCAGGCCACACGCAGCATCCAGGAGGCTGCCACTTCCATAAAAGAAGTGAGGCAGCCCAGGCCAGGCATTCTGGCCAGCGCAGGCAATGTGGAAGTGCTGCTGCGCTCTCGCTTGATGCTGCACTGCTGCCAAGGGCGCTGACGGGGCGCGTAGTGGTGGTGAGGTGGGGCGCTGCAGGGCAGCGGGGCGCAGGCAGCCATAGCCAAGCTGCTAGGCGCCGGGGGTAAGGAGGGCGATCAGGTGGTCTTCAGGGAAGGAGGCGAGTGCGGGTAATCAAGGTCTGATTGAGGGTGACGAGAGACGTAACCGGTGCATGAAGAGAGGTCGGCTATGGTGTTGACAGTCATGTACATTGGTCTTCGAGAGTCGAAGTGAGCTGTTGCGTGAACCAGCTGTAGGTAGGATAGTCGGGCAGAGTAGGCTGGGCGCTGGGCGCCAGACAGAAGAGGAGCGACTTTGGATACTGTGTTGGCGTGGCCTACGGGCTTGAACATTGGCTCATTACTTCATTGTATTGCTCTATATAGATGGTTTCTCGGTGCATTTTGTACTCTCCGCTTGGTCTTGACTACCTGGACATCTGTGTGATTTCGCAACTTGGTTTTCTGTATATCGTTCACACTCATATTCCTTGCAATTTGGTATCGGAGCCGGTTTGTGATCGCCGCTTACCTGGCACCGGCGACATTGTTACTTGGTGCGCTGATGATGCGTCATGTGCAGTAAGGATACTTTGGCGCTGGTTTGATTGAGCGGGCCCAGGTAGAGGGGCCGGCCGCTGGAAGGCTGTGGCGACAGCGTGGGAACTGTGGCGACAGCGGATGTATGTATGACGATGAGAGTATGCTGACGTGGCATTTTGGCTGAGGTGGCACTGCATTGCGTTGTGGGTGGTACCGAGGCTATTGACCGGTCATCGAAATGCACGTCGGCCCAATTGGTGAGAAATTTGTGGTTGGGGGCAGCTATCTCCAGGTACGTTGTTCCCATTCCTTATCTACCCTCTCAATCTCTTCTTACCGTGAGGAAGTGAGTCCAACTTGAGTGTCCTCTCTTTGGTGAGGAGTCGTGTGCGCTCTACCTTGAGAGACGACATTCTTCCCGGTGGCGCATCTGGCAGGAGAGGGTGGTGCCTTTGAAGGGCACTGGTCGAAGCACGGGTCACGGTCACCATGCCAACCCATGTAGTACACACAGGCCATGCTGCTTTGTCCATTGAGGCTCTTTGCTGCGCTGATAGAAGGGGTGTGTGGACTGATTAGTCCTACGTAAACGCTCCTAGACCGTCTATAAACATTTCTGGTTGGGGTCTGAGCTGCCCACTGGCTGTGATCGCCGTCCTGACTGCGACGTTAAAGAATTCCTGAGGACTCTCGGGGGCTGTCCTTAAATTGCCTCTTGATCAGCGAGATCAGTCAGACGTAAGGCTCGTTGCACGCGAGGGTAAACAAAGGGCAGGACTGGTCATAAGCATACTTCTTGGGCACTGGGGTGGGCCGTGGTTGCACACCTTAGACATTGCCGCTTGATGATGCTCACAGGTACGTTGGATACAGGGAAAGGGGATTCCAATTGTGAACTCTACTATGCATCACTATCATATCCATTGTGCATACATCTGCTCACAGTAGTCTATTTTCAATTTGATTAGTTGTTTGACAGACTCCTGACACCTAACAGACAGCCTAGAATAGGACAGTAATCTACCATAGTCAGTTATTCTCAAAGCTTTGTGCAGAACTAATCAGGATAGAGGTAGACTGTGTGTACAGTGTATAGGTGTTGTTGATACCGCTTGAATAGTAGCCGAGGTGACTCGCTGGGTAATTATTTATTTATTTTTAGCACCAGTCAGACGTATGCTGCGGTAGGTCCCAGAGAGGACTAGTGCAGACAGTGTCTGCCTAGCTAATGAGTGAATCAGCCGGGGATGAAGGTACAGCTGACGGTAGGAGGTTAACAAGGCTATCATCGCTTAGAATCCCTAGAGTGTTCCAGGCTCTACAACCGGGAGAAGAGAGAAGACTAAGGGCCGAAGCTAGGGCCCGCAGTCTTGAGGCTGCAAGGGAAGCAGCAGCGGCCGAAGCAAGGGCGCGTTGGCAGCAGCTAGCGTGGTAGCAATGGCTACCGCTTCAGCAACGTCTGCAGCAACCTCTGGTCAGGGCATGCCGTCCAACTCGACCGGCTCGCAGTCAGTCTCCAATACGTCAGGTGTCGGTGCTAGTCAGATGGCGGGTGTGCAGTCCAACCTGCCGCCTCATCTTATAAGGGAGCAGATGGAGCTCCGGCAGGTAGAGAGGATCCGCCTGAGGTTAGAGGAGGAACTCAAACAGGCTACTAAGAAAGAAAGAGAAATTAGAGAGAGAAGAGTCAGACTAGAGAGTAGGGAGGGAGACGTAGCTGCGCTAGAGGGTTTAGATGACGTGTCCCTTGACCCTACAGGGAAGATTCTTAAGGCGAGTGTTCTATCCTTGCATGCGTACATGGATAGCAAAATGGACGCGATGCAGGACACCCTGGACCAGATCCTGAAAGCCCTACAAAGGTCAGGGACCCGGTCAACAGCTTTGCCATCCCTGCCATTCTCGGCGATGACAGGCCCCTTTGCCGCTCAGTTTGGACAGCAACCAAGCGGTACATCAGCAGCAGCCCAATCTCAGACTGTTGCTTCTTCGTCTTCAGGTCCAGCGGTTGGAGCTACACCACAGCCGCCACCTGTCTCACCAGTTGGACAGCAAAAACCTTGGTACCCTAAGACCCCTTTGAAACCACCTCTAACCTTCTCAGGAGATAAGAAGGACGAGGCACTCGACACAAGGTTGAGAACGGTTCCAGTGTGGGTCAGGGCGAAGAGGACGCTGGTAGAGGAGGAGGTGATTACTGCTGCATCCTACTTAGAGGGTTCAACAACTCGCTGGCTAAATGGATTATTGGCTTCAAAAGGGTTCGACAGGAACATGGGTGACTGGGCCAAGACCCACACCTTAGAGAGTTTTATGGTCTTAGTGGAGGCTCGATGGCACAACCCTCAGCAAGCACAGATTGCCACTGACAGGCTACTAAAAGCTAGGAAGTATAAGTCAGTGCGAGAGCTTACCACGACCATAGAGCGCCTGATTGTCGTCTCAGGACTGGAGTACAATCCACAGGTCTTGTTGACCATGTTCTTGAGATGTCTTCCCACAAACATCAATAACTCATTAGCTAGTGAGGCTCGTCTAGAGTATCACACTTTTGAGACATTCAGCAAGAGGGCCCTAAACTTAGAGGCTACGCTGGGTGGTGCTCAAACCCCCACTAAGGATGGAAGAAAGAAGAAGGCTCCACAGGAATGGAAGAACAAGGGTAGTCGATTGATGATGGTTGATTCCGAAGGGAATCAAACTGAGATCGATGATGTTTTTGAACTTGTGGAGGGTTCAGA